TTTTTCATTGGGATTTTGGAGGGGAGAATATGTCAGTGTTTGAACTCAGTCTGCTATTTTGAACTATATGTCATAGTTGAATATTACAGAATATTTCAGAATTTTTAATGACAATAGATTTAATTAGCCAATATATGTTTTAGAATTAGATATATGGGGTCTCTGCCACTTAATATTTGAGTTACCTTGAACAAGTTTATTAACTGTTCAAAGTATTGATTTCTCATCCGCCAAATGAAAATAATGGGAACAGTCTTACCTATTGCATGGGTTTGTTCCAAACCTATGTATTTGTATTATTATTTGAGATAATACATGTGAAGGTCTTAACACAGAATCTTGTATAGTATGTACTCAAAAATGTTGTTAGGTTGTGAATGTTCCAAATAGTTATTTCAAAAATAAATTACATAGCTCCTTCTGAAAATCTTTTCATAGAGATTAATAAACAGATGCTAAGCTACTGGCTCTGGGTTATCAAAACTCTTAACACATTCGTTATCAAAACTCTTAACACATTCTTGCAATTAAATGTAGTTAGGTCTAAACTTCATGTGAAACTAGTAAATGTATACTGTAATATTTTTCTCCTAGGATTGTTTTGATGGTTGTAAGGTAATTGCATTATTTATAAAATTAATTTATTGATATACAGGTTGGGGCAAAAGTAGGTATACATTCATATGAAAAGTTGTTCATATGCAAAAATAACACAATAAATCTGCCCTGGCCAGGTAGATGAGTTGGTTAGAACATTGTCCCAATATGCCAAGGTTGCAGGTTTGATCTGTCAGGGTGCATACAAGAAGCAGCCAGTGAATGCATAAACAAATGGAATAACAAACTGATGTCTGTCTCTGTTTCCCTCCCTCCCTCCAGCCCTGTCTAAAGTCAATAAAAAATAAAAAATACAATAATTAATAAATAGTAATACAAGAATAAACTCTGTTTTGCATGCTCACAACTGTAAAGCTACTTTTGCCTCAACCTGTATTGATGAAAGGATTAACACAAGTCTATTAATAGCTTTCAAAATACTTAAGTTTTTTCCATTGCTAATTCAAATTTTAACATGCTAATTCAGCATATGTTGCCATTTTAATTCTGATACAGTTTATGTATCAGAATAAAACATAGGTTAATGTTTATACTTGGAAGAGTAAAATATTTTATTTCTTATTATAGCGGAATGGCCAAAGACTATGACAGGTCTTCCCAGCACATCAGGGACAACAGCCAGTGTGGTCATCATACGGGGCATGAAGATGTATGTAGCTCATGTTGGTGACTCAGGCGTGGTTCTTGGAATTCAAGATGACCCAAAGGATGATTTTGTCAGAGCTGTGGAAGTAACACAGGACCATAAGCCAGAACTTCCCAAGGAAAGAGAACGAATCGAAGGACTTGGTGGGAGGTAATCATGCTGTTTTGTCTTTTTTCTCTTGGTTCTATGTAGTCCTTTTCTGTTTCACTAACCAGATTGCCCTACTTCCCCTTTTTAATGAAGTGACTTTCTCTGTATTATAACAGGTTTTTAATTTCCCTGATAAAGTACCCATGTGCATTCATATTTATTTCATTACTTTGAATTGACTTTTATTTCTAATAATGGCTCCAAAGGTAAATAATATTTTAGTTGGGCTTCAAGTAACAACACATACAAGGATTTATTGATAACCTTTTATATGAGTCATGATCAGCATGACCTTCACAATTTGAACAGAGCAGCCTGTAGAGTTCCAAAATAGAACAATTAGAATCTGCCTTTGGGAACAGAATTTTGTTAAAATTAACCTTTAGCCCTAGCTGATGTAGCTCAGTGGATTGAGCGCTGGCCTGTGAACCAAACAGTTGCAAAAGGTTGCTGGTTTGGTTCTTGGTCAGGGCAAAGGTCTGGGTTGGGCACCGGTCCCAGTTGGGGTATGTGGGAGGCAGTGGATCCAATGTTTCTCTCACACACTGATGTTTTTCTCCCTCTCTTTCTCCCTCCCTTACACTCTCTAAAAAGTAAATAAAATGTTTTAAAAAAATTAACCTTCAGCTTTTTTCTTTGATTTGTAAGGCATATATACCCAAACCTTTTTTCTCTATTTGAACTTACTGTCTTAATGGGTAGATAGCTTATAAACTATGACTTGAAATCACCTTCAGTATGATATTTTTATCATATAACCTAAAATGTAAGATTATTCTAAAAGTCAGAAGAAAAATAACATGAGAAAAAGAAAACATTTATTTCAATACTTATTTGTAAAAATCAAAGGTCAGGACTTCCGGCCAAGATGGAGGCATAGGTGGACACACTATGCCTCCTTGCACAACCAAAATAAGGACAACAACAATTTAGAAACAAAATAACAACCAGAACTGACAGAAAATTGAACTCTATGGAAGTCTGACAACCAAGGAGTGAAAACAGACACATTCATCCAGACCGGTAGGAAGGGTGGAGACAGGTAGCCAGGTGGAGAGGGGTCACAGCAAAAAAAGCAATGACACCAGGCATGCAAGATGACAGCGGGTGGACCCTGAGCATGCAGGCAGCGGCTAGCAGACCCTGGGTGCGGGGTGGCAATGGGCAGACCCAATGAGGTGGAGATTGTGAAATGGGACACAGTGTGTGAGGTAGCTGGCTGACCTGGTGGTCCACATTAGCACACAGATTAAACCAGGAGAAACTGGGGAGTGCAACCCAGGGTCCCAGCTTGGGGAAATGAAGCCTCAAAACACCGATTGAAAAGACCCATGGGAGTTGAGGTGCCAGGAGAGACTCCCGGCCTCACAGTAGAGTTCATTGGAGAGACCCACAGGGTCCTAGAACATATACAAGCCCACCCACCCGGGAATCAGTACCAGAAAGGCCCAGTTTGCTTGGGGAAAGCTGCAGAAGGGACTGAAATCTGACAGAGCTGAGCAAGTGCCATTGTTCCCTCTTGGACCCCGCCCCCACCACATATAGCATCACAACCCAGCAACTGGGTTGCCCTGGTGAACACCCAAGGCTCCGCCCCTCATATGTAACAGACGAGACAAGATAAAAAAAAGTGGCCCAAATGGAAGAACAGATCAAAGTTCCACAGCAAATGCAACTAAGCGAGGAAGAGATAGCCAACCTATCAGATGTATAGTTCAAAGCACTGGTGATCAGGATACTCACAGAATTGGTTGAATTTGGTCACAAATTAGATGAAAAAATGAAGGCTATGCTAAGTGAAATGAAGGAAAATGCATAGGGATTCAACAGTGATGGGAAGGAAACTGGAACTCAGATCAGCGGTGTGGACCAGAAGGAAGAAACATGCAACCAGAAAAGAATGAAGAAACAAGAATTCAAAAAAATAAGGAGAGGCTTAGGAACCTCCAGGACATCTTTAAACATTCCAATATCTGATTCATAGGGGTACCAGAAGGAGAAGAGGAAGAGTAAGAAATGGAAAACTTATTTGAGTAGATAATGAAGGAGAGCTTCCCCAATCTGGCAAAGGAAAGAGACTTCCAGGAAGTCCAGGAAGCTCAGAGTGTCCCAAAGAAGTTGGACCCAAGGAGGAACACACCAAGGCACATCATAATTACATTAGCCAAGATTAAAATGAAGGAGAGAATCCTAGAAGTAGCGAGAGATAAGGAGACAGTCACCTACAAAGGAGTTCCCATCAGACTGTTAGCTGATTTCTCAAAAGAGACCTTATAGGCAAGAAGGGGCTGGAAAGAAGTATTCCAAGTCATGAAAGGCAAGGACCTACATCCAAGATTGCTCTATCCAGCAAAGCTATCATTTAGAATGGAAGGGCAGAGAAAGTGCTTCTCAGATAAGGTCAAGTTAAAGGATTTCATCATCACCAAGCCCTTATTATATGAAATGTTAAAGGGACTTATCTAAGAAAAAGAAGATAAAAAAACATGCACAGTAAAATGACAGCAAACTCACAATTATTAACAACCACACCTAAAACAAAAACAAAACAAACTAAACAAACAAGTAGAACAGGAACAGAACCACAGAAATGGAGATCACATGGAGGGTTAGCAACAGGGGATTGGGAAGAGGTGAGAGGGGGAAAAGGTACAGAGAATAAGTAGCATAGATGGTAGGGAGAAAATAGACATGGGAAAGGCAAGAATAGTATGAGAAATGTAGAAGCTAAAAAACTTATGACACATGGACATGAACTAAAGGGGGGAATGTGGGTGGGAGAGGGTGTGGAGGGGAATGAAGGGGGGAAAATGGGACAACTGTAATAGCATAATCAATATATCAAAAAATCAAAGGTCAAAGGCAAGTTAAATGTTTTCTGTCAAAATAATCGCTTTAACTAAAGCCTTATGATATTGCTTGCTTTTCTTTCTTGCTTATAGTAAATCAAAATGGTCTTTTTCAGAGAAATAGTAAACTGGGGAAAAGAATTAAACTATAAGGAGTTCAAAATATGAGTAAGAAAAACACTAACACCCCCCCCCCCATAGGTGCATGAAGGAGAAGTTGTTTGTACAACAAAGACGCAAAGGAGTAGTAAACATGGGGAAAAATGTTTAACATTATTGAAATGAAACTCTCCTCCTGTTGGGTTTGCAAAGATTAAAAAAAAGAGAGGTAATCCTTAATATTTTTGTTGAAATGGGTACTTGTTGATTGGACTTTAAATTGGTACAACCTATAGATAATATGATACCTACCACTAGTTTTAAATATTTATAGACTTAGTAATTTCAGGAACCTAAAGAAGAAATCTGAAATGTGGACCAAAATATATGAACAGAGTTCCTTATGTTTAATGACTGTTAAAGGCTGGAAATAACTTGAAGGCCAAATGGCTGGAAAATGGATAAAGATATTGTAATACATATTTATCACATTGAATATGATATAGCCATTTAATATTTATAGATATACTTTGAAAAATTCATGGTGTTATGAAAATTTTCAAACATAGGTAAAGATAGAGTCGTCGTCGTCGTCGTCTTTTCTTTTTTTTTTTTTTAAGTAAGTCTACTTTTATTGGCTACCTGAGAGGGACCAAGCGGGAGGAGTCAGTAGCCCCAGTGCTGGGCCGGCCATCCTTTACTGGATTGTTGGTGTTGGAGAACTCGCTCAGGTGGTGGCCAGTCATCCGTGGCTTGATTTCCACCTGGTTGAAGGTCTTCCCATTGTACACGCCCACCATCTCTGGTAGGATAATCAAATCCCGTAGGTGCGACATCACTTCTGGCTTCTCTGTGGGCTGTGCTTCCTTCTTGGCCTTGCGCAGGCGCCTTAGCAGTAAGGGCCACTTCCTCCGCAGGCCGAGGTTCAGCCGCCACCTCTTCCTGGCACTGTAGAGCTGCCTCAGACCCTCATAGAACTTGTCAAGTAGCTGGTCGGGATCCCGGCTGCGGTTGGTGAACTTGCAGAAGGGCCGCTTCTCCTTCTGCTCCACTTCGCCATCTTGTCGGTTCTTTGGAAAGGACCACTCGCTCTGTGTGTAGATGGAATAGTCTAATGAAGTCTCATGTATGGGGAATTTTTAATAACGAGAGAATGCCCATTGGTCACAGAATAGGTAGGATATAAAAATATACTTGTAGTGAAATCTCAACTATGTAGAGAAATAGGAATAGGATAGAAATACAACCAATGTTGACAATTTTCTCAATGGTGATTTATTTATGTGTACACACATGCACACACTTTTTCAGGCAGCATAAAATGGTGTACCGTAGAAGGTCTCTCAACTACTATTGTCCCGTAGGCCACCCCACTTGCCTCGACTTACAAGAAACTAGTACAGAATAAACATTCTGTTTATTCAATAGAGGGATATATATGCAATCAAAAACGAAATCGTACCGTGGATGGATGGACCAGGATTTATGGAGTCGTTGAAGGATTAAAAAATTTTTTTATTTATTTACTTTTAGAAGGGAAGGAAGGAGGGAGAGAAACATCAGTGTGCGAGAAATACAGCCATCAGTTGCCTCTTGCACTTCCCCCTCTGGGGACCTGGCTACAACCCAGGCATGTACCCTGACTGGGAATTGAATCTGCGGCCTTTTGGGTAGTAGGCCAGTGTTCAATCCACTAAGCCATACCAGCCAGGGTCATATAGAACTTTTTGATTGTATTCAATTTTAGGCTTAGAAAAGGTATCTTGGTAATATTCTAACTTTATCTTATGAGAAAGGTTGAATATTTTTTTATTTAGAAACCATCTATATTTCTTTCTTTGTATTTTTGTTTATATTGTTTCATTCTGGGGAAAGATTATGAGCCTCTTCTGTATTAAAATGTAGGAGCCACTTATGCAATACATCAGAGAAATTAATCTAATTGAGTTTCAGATGTTTTCACAGTTTGTTGATTATGTTCTTGGAATTTTGTCCCAGGAAATTTATTTTAATGAAGTAAAATTTATCAATCTCTTCTATTATGATTTTGGGTGTTGTGCCATACGTACAGTTCTTCCACTCTACTTTTTTTTTTTTAGACAACTCAAATTGTTTTATTTTGAACTTTTATAATAGGATTGGATAATTTATTTTTTGTTTTAAATATTTTATTTATGCCGTTACAGTTTTCCAAATTATTCCCTCTTTGCCCCACTCTACCCAGCCTGCTCCCCATTCCCACAGTGAATCCCTACACCATTGTTCATGTCCATGGTCCGTGCACGTATGTTCTTTATTACCTTCACCTCCTTTCAACCAGTTCCCACCTCCCCTCTCCCTTGTTACAGTTGTCAAGTCTGTACCTTCCATGTTTTTTTCCTCCACGTTGTCTACCTTCCATGTTTCTATGCCTTTGATTCTATCTCCCACTCAGACATTTTTAAAAAGTCTTCTATATTTTCTTCTAGTACAGCAGTTAAGAATATTTTTGTCTTATGAACCTTTACACTTTTAAAAATTGAGGACTTTGAAGAACTTTTTGTATATATGGGTTACTGATTTCGCCATATTAGAAATTAAAACGAAGACATTTTCAAATATTTGTTACTTCATTGCAAAATAACAATATTAATATGTTAATATAAAGAACATTTTTTGCCCTGGCTGGTGTAGCTCAGTGGATTGAGCACGGACTGTGAACCAGAGGGTTGCAGGTTCGATTCCCAGTCAGGGCACATGCCTGGGTTGCAGGCCAGGTCCCTAGTGGGGGCCATATCAGAGGCAACCACACATTGATGTTTCTCTCTCTCTCTTTCTCCCTCCTTTCCCCTCTCTAAAACTAAATAAATGAAATCTTAAAAAAATGAAAATTAAAAAAAAAGAACGTTTTTATGGCTCTCGCTGGGTAGCTCAGTTGGTTAGAACATCATCCTGATACACCAAGGTTGCAGGTTTGATTCCTGGTTAGGGCACATACAAGAATCAACCAATAAGCTCTGGCTGGTATGGCTCAGTGGATTGAGCACCAGTCTGTGAACCAAAGGGTTGCTGGTTAGATTCCCAGTCAAGGCACTGCCTGGGTTGCAGGCCAGGTCCCTTCCTGGTTGGGAATGTGTGAAAGGCAACCACACATTGATGTTTCTCTTTCTCCCTTACCCTCTCTATAAATAAATAAATAAATAAATAAATAAATAAATAAATAAATAAATCTTTTTAAAAAGAGCGAATCAACCAACGAGTGCATGAATAAGTGGGACAACAAATTGATGTTTCTCTCTCTCGAATAAATAAAAATTTAAAATAAGAACATTCTCATGAAAAAAATAGTTGTTTTCCAAAACATTTAGTGAAAGGATTTGCATTGTTTACTACTTTTATAAGTCTCTTTAATGTCTAGCTTAATGGTTGTACCATACTTTTTAAATTGAAGCTTTATTATAGTTTTTAATAGTGGTACGCCTGATTGCTTCTCATTCATCTTTTAAAATATAATTTTCTTGACTACTTTTTTTTTCTCTGAATTTTTAAATGCTATTTTCTTTGATTTTCTTAACTTATTTTAGAGTTTATGTTTTTTGTCTTATCTTTTAAAATACCATCTGGATAGTTGGACAGATGCTCTTTGCTATTTGGGAGCAGGTGTCTTTTTGCATAAAATGAGCTGTTTTATTATAAGTTATTTCCTCCTTTCCCTCTGTCTCACCCTAGGCAACTGGCCAATGCTCTGTTTTTCCTGCCTTCTGTTGCTGCTCAGTCAATTCTCTGCATATCAGGCTGTTCTTTTGTGTATGCCTTTTAATCATACAGGACGTGAGGAGTGCAATAAAAGCAGCATTTCTTATAACATTGATATGGATTTTTTTATTCTGGATTTAAAACTTTATTTTAATCAGTATCATCATGTTGTCTTTTGTTCTTCAGAAACCTAGAGACCATAATATTTTTTTAATATTAAGTATCAAGAGAACTCCTAGTAGAGTTACGTTGGAAGCAATTTACGTAGCTACAATAATTACTTATGTATTAAGTCTTATATTTAGGAAGGAGGTTTAGGAAAAACCAATAGGGCTTAAGGTGCTAGGGAGACAGAATGTTGGTATCTTTTCTCATGTAACTCTTATGTTTCATCAATTTTTCCCAAATGGTAGATTTAGTGTTTATTGATTTGCCCTTTTTGTTTTTTAGGTTTTTTTCCTGGTTTGCTGTTTTGAGGATTAGCATGAAAGAAAGCATAAAATAACAAAATGACCATTTTTTATATTCTTACTGTTGTTATGACCTAGAACAATGTTGTTTTCAGAATTGTTAGTTAAATTCTAAAGGGATAGTAAATGAGCTGCTCTCTTGAATTTCTCTTCGATATTAACACTGACGGTGATTTTTGATCATTCCATACTTGCATCATTCCTCCCTTGTGCTGTCTGGTGTAATAGCCACTAGACACATATGGCTGTTTAAATTTAAGTACCAATAAATTAAAATTAAATGGAATTAAAAATTTAACTTCTTATTTGCACTAGCCACATTTGCAGTGTTCACTAGCCACATATGGCTAGTGATTACTGTGTTTGGACAGTGCGAAGTAAACATTCCATCATTGCAAGAAGTTTCATGAGACAGAGCTTTTCAAATCTGCTAGCCTGCCCTCATCAGATGAGCTTGTTTTCTACTTTAGAAAGAAGATTAAAAAAAAAAAATTAAAAAAAAAAAAAAAGATTAGCCCTGGCTGGAGTAGCTCAGTGGATTGAGCGTGGGCTGTGAACCAAAGCATCGCAGGTTCGATTCCCAGTCAGGGCACATGCCTGGGCTGCAGGCCATGGCCCCCAGCAACCGCACATTGATGTTTCTTTCTCTCGCTCTTCCTTCCTTCCTTCCCTCTCTAAAAATAAATAAATAAAATCTTAAAAAAAAAAAGAAGATTAAAGATACTCTTTTTCTGTCATATTCATGTTTTTTTAATCTTTCTCACAGGAAGATTGTTCTTATTTATAAGGTTTATGCCTTTGTATTGCTTTTCTTAGGATGTCTATTCCATTTGTTAACTGCTCGCGCTCTCTCTCTCTGTCTCTGTCTCTGTCTCTCTCTCTCTCTCTCTCTCATATCTTTGAAGTTAGAGCAGATATATAAAAGCCATCCATGGAGGTAACCAACTGGCTGCTACTGGGGTGTACAGCAGGCATTTCATTGTGACATTCTTTTGGAGGTGGTCAACATTATTTGCCCTGTCTTCAGTTTTCCATATCTTCAAGCCATTTAGTTTCAGTGTTCATCAAGTTTAGGGGAATAGAATCATGCTACTCAAAGTCAACATGGTAAACAAATGGAAACAAATGAGTCTCTCTAATAAGAGACTCATATGTCAGAATGTCAGTACTTGTTAGAAAAATAATTAACAAGAAGACCATGTATTGTCAGCTGCCTGCTGTAGATGAAATAAAACTTCAGATTATAAGCAAAGGGTTTCTTTCTTTCTTTTTTTTTTTTTTAAAGGAGAAAAACATCAATGTGTGGTTGCCTCTCATGCATCCCCCACTGGGGACCTGGCCCACAACCCAGCCATGTGCCCTGACTGGGAATCAAACCAGCAACCTTTGGTTTGGAGGGCTGCGCTCAATCCATTGAGCTACACCAGCCAGGGCCAGTAAAGGGTTTCTGAGTGCACATGGGACCTGAGTAAGAAGACTTAGTCAGATTACCTTAATGTCATCTGCCTTTGACAGCCTTGGGAATGAGTCATTCTGTCTTTAGCATGTATCTGTCAGATGAACCTAGTGTCATGCAGGCTAACTTTGTTTCTTGGAAATGCTCTTTGCAACTCTACACACCAACTTTTTTAGCCTTCCAGAGGAATATTATTCTTCTATTGATTTTTTTTTTAAATTCAGGCAGATTATGATTAAACTGATTTAAGGATCCGCTTCCCATTTTAATAATACCAGGCACAGGCCCTGGCTGGTGTGGCTCAGTGGGTTGAGTACCAGCCTGCGGACTGAAAGTTTGCCAGTTCGATTCCCACTCAGGGCACATGCCTGGGTTGTGGGCCAGGTTGCGAGCTAGGGGCATGTGAGAGGCAACTGATCGATGTATCTCTTGAACATTGATGTTTCTCTCCATCTCTTTCTCCCTCCCTTCCCCTCTCTCTAAAAATAAAATAAAGATTTTTAAAAATCTTTTTAAAAAATATACCAGGCAGAGGTTGAGAGATCATCTCTATTGTTTTTTTCTCCATCTCTATTTTGAATTATAACCTGTTTTGTTCCAAGACTTGACCATATTTCCATGTTTCAGGCAACCTAGAGTGCACTAACTCCTCAGGGTACTGATGACAGATTTCTACTGCTCCTATGCCAAATTTCTAGGATGGTTTTTCTTATTTTGTTACTCCTGAATCTACACTTTTACAGATTTTTTTCCCAAAGTGTAATCTCATACTTGTAATTACAGAAATTTCTAAATACACAGATATTTCTATTAAGGTGTTTCCTATTATTCAAATAAAAAATACTAAAGTTGAAGTTCTGAATATACTCAAATCCCTCAAAAACGATATGACCTTTGGTTCTTTTTATTTCTTTTTTCATTATTTAATCCATCACATTTATATCCTCTTCTTCCTCCCCTCAATTTTTTTAGTTATCAAGTTATCTTTCTTTTTTCTTAACATGATCTCTACTAAATTTTCCTCCTATTACTTCCATTCCAGTCTGTCCAGCCTGCTTCGGTAACCCTCAAATTCTCATCTTAATCTACCTATTTGGTCTTTCCTCTCTGAACAGGAACTTTGGTTTATGCATCTTTGTATCTGAAATAGACAAATCATTATTTTGTGATAATATGATCTGATTTTATTAGTTGTTTAACACATAGAGCTACCTTAGTTGTTATATTTTAATCATTTAGAGTATATGAACTCTATTTTTTAGTGTGGTGAACAAGTCTGGGGTGAATCGTGTAGTGTGGAAACGACCTCGACTCACTCATAATGGACCTGTTAGAAGGAGCACAGTTATTGACCAGATTCCTTTTCTGGCAGTGGCAAGAGCACTTGGTAAGTATGGTTTATATTTGGTGAAGTCATATTGGATTTTCTACAATATATGGTGGCAAAATGAAAGAGATTCTAAACCCTCTTGTGGCGTATAATGGGGGTAGAGCTTTAAAACCTGAGGGAAAGGTTAAAGTATGGATTTCAATTTTAATTGCTCTTTGATCATGAGTCATGTTCAATGATTTACTAATTCCCACCTATACCTAGGGAAGTATATGTATGTCT